TTTGCGTTTAAATTTATAATTGTATACACAAATATTTTTTTTTCAAAAGGGTCGTTTGAATATGAGTACGTAGTATTTAATGTTCAAAATGTATTCCTACAATTTTAAATCATTATTCCTAATTCTAATTTCTAATAGATTATACGTTTTTAAAACAAATAAATATATTAGAAATACCCTGTTATTTAAAAATTATTATTCAAAGATCAAGTATAAATATATATGTTTCATTTTTCATCTATTTTCTTCTTTTTTCCATTTACTCATTATTTAAGGAAAATCTTTGACAGCGTCTGCAAAAATAGCTATTTCATTTCTTCAAGTAAATTTTTATTTTTCATAAACTTAATAATGTATAATTTCTCATGTATGCACAAAGAACATGGGTCATTTAATGACCTACAAATTCTAGCTTTTCTTATTAATTTTAAAGTAGGTGTTTTATTGGCTTCCTTTAAGTGCCTCAAATATTTAGATAGGGACGTCTGATTTCGGTATTTTCTTATTTTAAAAGACCTTTGATGTTGGTTTTATCGCCTTTTTGAATTCGTGTCTTGTGCATCAAATATAAACTTTTACTTTGTCTGGATCATCAATAGATGAAATATTGCACTGGTACACTTATGATTCAATGCGACATTTATTAAGACGACAGTTTTTAAAATTTCTACAGTTGCATAATGTTTCTTTATCTTCATTTCTTTTATTAAACTCACTATATATTTTTTTGATTTTGGTCTATGTGTTTACTCCCGATGTTAGCATCATGGTTCTTAATCATTTCTAAAATTTCAGTACAACTTTAAGTTAATTTTAGGGTATTTTTATTAAAAATTGTACTGAGTTTACTGTCTCTAGGAAAATGTTGAACGATTAATGAAAGGAATTTTTGTCCTAATTTGTTTTTTAGCATTTGGTTGTATGGGGGTGTATACCAAATGATTTTCTACTTCTGTTTTTTCTATGTTTCCACTTTCATTTTTTATATAATTGAGGTTTGGGCATTTGTAGACACTATTCTTTAGAGCTTTATTATAAAATTACTATGTTCTTGTAAATTTCAAAATAGGTAACTCCAAAAGTCGCTTGAAAATTAAACTAACTAGGGATTTTAATTTAATTCTATAATTAAATTTAAAGATTTAGTTTCTGTTTTGAAACGTGGTAAGTTCTGTGTATCGATGGGACCATATTTTTAAATTAGTAAATCTATCTATCTATCTATCTATCTATGAAATGGATTAAATCCGACATATTTTTTAATTGTTTGAACGTAAAATATATCTATTTATTTACATCTACCCGCCTGAATATTCGAGAAATCTTGTTAGAAAAATATGCGCACGCGTGTATGTTTTTCTAAGAATATTTCTGGAATATTCAGGCCGGTAAATGTAAATAAATTTGATATATTGTTTAATAAATAAAGAAGACAGAGTATCTACTCAAATATGTATATCCATTTAAAATAACGTATATATATATATATATATATATATATATATATATATATATATATATATATATATATATATATATTTATGTTTCCTGAGACCAAAAAACAAGTCAAATATTCATATAATGACAGCATATTTATATCGTGAGTAAGCAGATATGATTTTTACTTCCTCGCGAATGGTAATGGATGCGAGGCAGCACAACTGTATCAGCTTATGTTTCCAGACCGAAAAGAGCCGATTCATCTAAACTTTGCTGCTGTTTATCGACGCGTTGCTGAGACAGGATCTGTGGCATCGTAAACTATAGATCGAGTAAGACCGAGATCAACTCGTACGCCTGACAACGAAGAACACATTCTCCAGGCTGTCGGAGACGATCCAGGCATCAAGAAACGTCAAAGAGCCAGAACATGTAGTGCATCTGATAGTACGGCATTAAGAGTACTTTAAGAGCAGCTATTGTATCCGTATCAATTGCAATGAATGTCGGGTCCCACCACGTGAGAAATTTTGGCGATGGTTTATTGCACAAATTGCCGATCCGTTTTTTGTCTCTTCAGTCTTGTTTATTGATGAGGCAACATTTGGAAAAGATCGAATAACAAATTGACACACCGAGCATTTGTGTGCGGATCGTAATCCTCATTGTATAATACAGGCTAGCATTAGTTTACGATTAATATGTAGTCTGGACTTGTAGGTAACTATCTGGTAGGTACATATGTTCTCCTAACACGTCTTACAGGAGCTATCTACAGGGACTTTATTTTAAACATACTTCCAGAACTACTAGAGGATGCACTCCTGCTAATATGAAAACGCATGTGGTTCATGCATGATTTGGCTGGAGCACACTTTAGTTACATTTTTCGCGATGCACTGGCTGACATCTACCATGAATGATGGCTAGGGAGGGGAGGACCGGTTTTATGCCCTGAACATTTCCCCGACTAATCTTTTAGATTTTTATTTGTCAGACCACATAAATATTGGTTTATGCAGTAGACATTAATAATTCCGTGACGATTCATCAACGTGTCATGGGGTTTGAGAAGCCGCCTGGGAGTATTTAGTGGCATTTAAAACAAATGAATAAAACACCAAAAGTAAAATGGAAAATAATAAATAGTACAAGAACTTGTAAAACCTGGGATGACTCATGCCCTTTATGCCTACATGAAAAACTACACATTTTTAAGTTTCTAAAAAACGAAAATTTATTAAATCATAGACAAGAGTTAAGGGTTTTGTGCCGACATCAACAAATTTTCGCCTTAAATAATTAGCTTAAAAATTTTAAAATTTCATAGTCTATAAAAAATTTTAATTTCAAGCAAAGGATTTAAAAGCTCAACCCAATCATAAGATAAAAAATAACACTTTATGAAGTCGTCAAAAACAAATTGTAGTTCAATACGACGTATTTATATACAAAAAAACTTTTTAGAAAATAAAAAAAAATAAAAAAGTGAAAAAATTTTAAGGTATACAAATACGAATTTAACGGCGTAACAATAATGCCAGCAACTCTCTATTGTTGAAACAGACCAGACGATATGCTTCAAACTGATGTCATCATTCACTTGAAAATAAACACCCCGACCCTACCTTAACTTAACCTCCTCCGAAAGTAACTAATATGTTGATACAATATGTTCACTTTTTCGCCTCTTATAATTGGTTTAACCCTTTTCATATAATTAATATTACGAATGTTCATGCGTATAAAGCTCCGTAATTTTCAAGATTATTTATTCCAAAATTCGCCTGATAATGAAATAGAGCTGAATTTTTTAGCTTCTATTTTTGAAACATGAGAACTTTTATGTAGCGATGGAATCATATTTTTTAAAAATAATTATAATAATTTATATATATATATATATATATATATATATATATATATATATATATATATATATATATCGGCGTTGATAATGCGAGAAAGGGATGTTTGAATGTGATATAGTCTACTCCCATTAACGTATATTATAGGACATAACGCATTAATATCGGTAAAAGGACATTTACATCAGAGTGATAGTTTGATTTAATGATCAATAATGCTACGTAGAAAGCTGCGTATTTAGACAGAAAGACCCAGGAAAATACTTTGGCGCTGAGAAAGACTAACCATCATATAGCATGAGAGAAATATGTTAAATGTATCATTATAACATGTGAGTGAAAAAAGAAAAACAAATTAAAAGAAAAACAAGATGGCATATTTTGTAGTTTTTGTAATGTTGTCAGGAAATTATATACGTTGTGTCGACATATCGCCATGGTGATTTCCCGCCATATTAGGCTGGTTGGCGGGATGTAATGTTTTGTGACCGGAAACAGGAACACACAGACTTTGTAAAGTATTGCTCCCGAGGACGACGGGAATTACAGTTTGATTTAACAAATGGGAAAATAAATAAACAGAAAACATATTGGCGGGGAAATACGATTGATTCACCACACACACACACACACACACACACACACACACACACACACACACACACACACACACACACACACATATATATATATATATATATATAAAATTATTCATACTTCTATGTGCCGTGTCACTTAGGGACGTGAGCGATTATGGCTCTCCACAATTTTCTGTCCTTTGTAGCTTTTAGTAAAATATTTTTGCTGCATCTCTTAATGTCTGTTCTGTCAGCCATTTTGCATCGTTATGCATGTTATGTTGTTTTCATCTGTTACTCGTGCCTGCTATATGTCCTGTGAGTGTCAAAATTTCCAAGCCCTCTTTCTTCATTATGTGCCCTCAAAATTTCAATTAGATTTTCTAGATGTTAAGTATAAGTGTCTTTTTTTGTTTCCATTTTCCCCTAAAACGTCGTCGTTGCTCACGTGTTCAGTCCACTGTTTTGCAAGAAAAAAAAAAAAAATTTTTTTAGGAAACACATTTTCTTTGCGTCAGGTCTTTTCTCCATCTAGTATTCATTGTAATTCGTGTGGAAAAAGTATTGTTTACAGTATTTACATTGTTCGGACTGTTGTCCTCATCTTCGTTGCCATATACACAACGGTTCGGCCGTTGCACGCTCCGGCCTTCTTCAGTGGGTTGGTATTTCGAACTCAACTTTATTTCGACCAATGGCAACGAAGATGAGGAGAACAGACCGAATAATGTAAATAGTGTAAATAATTACAAAACCTCACCTTAGAAATATAGACAGATATGGAAAGAGAATGTTAGTATACAAGAAAGAACAAATATTCATATATATGTGTATTTGTTGTTATCTAGATCGATTGATTCTGCTGATTGTCAACTCTTTGCAGGCTATTTTAAAGACAGAAAATATTATTTATTCATATTGTAAGAATCATTTTTCGATTTAATAATGGTTTAATTATACAACTCTTAGAATTAGCCCATACATGAGTGGGGAGAAGAGGGGGGATTCGTACCTTTCCGCGTAAGTGAATTTATCGAACCCCACTGGACTTGGAACCCGGCTCTCCGATAAACAATTCCGAGCCATTTTCCATTACCCCGCACGTACATCCAAGCTTACAGCACCTGCTATTCCCAAGGGGTCACCCACCTAGGTACTGACCAAGCTCAACATTGTTTAACTTCGATGATCGTACGGGAACTGGTGTTTCAAGATCTGATTAACAAATCCGAGCCATTATCTATTACATCAGCCAAACATCAAAGCTTTACTGGATCTCATATTTCGAAGCGGTTACCCATCTAGGTACTGGCCAAGGTCAACATTGTTTAACTTCGGTGTATGAGGTTCAATTTACAAAACACTAAATATACATTGTCAGAATAATTCTTTTTTTTTTTGCGAATGGATAACTATTTTTGAGGATAATGATTATAAAATGGTGGGAGAAGACGATATCCTAAAAGTATATGCGTGTAAGTGAAAGGAATTTGAACTCGGCTCTTCAAGTTCTCTTTCCGAGTTGATATCGATTATACCATCTTAATATTGAAGTGACGTTAACGATTTTTATATATAAGTAACTTAGAATGCTCATCAGATCTTAGGTTATTTATATTTACTAAAAAACTATCCAGCAAGTATTCGTGGTAATGATGCAATCGTCATTAATATTATTTCAACATATACCATTTGCCTCGTACATTAGGTGTATGCCAGTTTCTGTTTGTATGGTTTATAGGTTTGTTGTGCATTCGCTCTCTTTCGTTTGTGTTGTTTGTAGAAACATATTGTCCTTTATTATGGCTTCAAAGCATAGAGTAACCTCTTTTAATTGTGGTGCTTTGAAGAAAAAGAAAGCCATCAACATGGAAGTGAAATTAGACATTGATAAATGCTCTGAAAAGTGAAAAACAGTGGCGAATATTGGCCAGTTGTTTGGCTTAAGTCGTTTGACTGTCGCTTAAAACATATACATATATGTATACATATTAAATTTCCCTATAAGAAATAAGGACATTTCCTTGTTAAATTATAAGTTGTTGAATTCCCGATAAAAAACAAAAGAAAAACAAACTCTCTTTTCCCCAGATTTACTGCTGCTTCTGAGTACTGAAAGAGAGACAAGATCTGCCATTTGGTCACCTCATCTACCAAAAGAACAAATAAAATCAATGGCAATAAATATAAAAGCAGCTTAAAACATTTTCATTTCATTATATGTATTTATGTACTCCATATTATTTTTTATTTATTTTTAGTTCTAATTATTTTTTACAAAAATGTGTTATGTCCTAGATTATTACTTTTATTGCATTAACATAGTTTAGTGGTGTAAGAAGTACTTATTTGTCGAAAATTGTAGGTACATTCCAACTTGCGCAGAAAATCAGATTAAGACACATTTAGAAGTCACTAACTTCAGCAATGCAAAATGCTTATCCTTTGGGGAGGGAATTTTTTTTTAAACATTTCACCCCAAGCAAGGCGGGAAGCCACTAGCACGCAAGGAGTTACAGAGAGTTGGATCGAGAGCAAAGAGTAGTGATAGAGGAAAGGATGAAGAGAAGGATTGGGGATAGACCAAGGCATCTGGAGACGTTGATTGACATTACATTTGAATAGTTGGAGATTATAGCTCTCAGGGAAACAAGAAAAGGGAAGGATGTTCCACAGGCGAGAAGTGCGAGGCATGAAGCTATTGGAGTAGAAGAGACGGCTACATTTAACAGTTTCGACAGTGAAAGTGTGTGAGCGAGATGCCAGCCTAGTAGAACGTTTAAATCCATCAAGTTTGGGAACCAGCGAAAGCAGCTCATCGGAGCAGTTACCGTGAAAGTATTTGTAAAAAAGACAATGGGAGGTGACGGCACGTCTATGAGAGAGCGACTGCTGACGAGATGCCAGATCAGGGCCAATTACATTGCATATCCGTCTCTGGATTTTATCAAGAACCTTGAGACAAACATAAGGGACACCAGACCATATATGGCAGCAATACTCCATGCAAGGGCGAAGGGTTGATTTAGATGCAAAAGACGTTCGAGGCAAGTAACCTCATTGAGACTATGATCTCTAATCAGGATTGAAGTAAATTAGACATTAATCATTTCTAAGACACAATTGTTCATAGCTTAATCTAACAATTGGTTAATTTTGTTGTTACACTCGGTATCCGAGTTCTGTTCCAGACCCTGGCGTTAGCTTTAGACGCAAAAGACGTTCGAGGCAAGTAACCTCATTGAGACTATTATCTCTCATCAGGACTGAAGTAAATTAGACATTAATCATTCCTAAGATACAATTGTTCAAATCTTAATCTAACAATTGGACAATTTTGCTGCTGCACGATTCAGAGAAATGTGTTTTTATGTCTCAGTATATATAATGTGATTACAGTCCTCCACCCAACTTGTTCAACTGAGAATATGGTTTACCTACAGTTTTACCATCCCGATTTTTGAGTTGGTAATAGATATCAGAACTTATATTAAGTCATTATTTAATATGAATTCTTTCCCTAGTTTCTTTTTTAATAGGTTAATAGGTGTAGATAGTCTCAACCCTTTGCCTGGTCCGCACTACTTTCATGTCAATTTTTCAGGAGTAGAGATTCATCCCTTGTCCCCTGCTCAGGATATGTTTTAACGACTCTTTTTACTCTCTTACTAGGGCCCCAATGATTTAACTGTCTTGACTCTTTTGTGATCAGATTAAACAATGGCTGTTACTTTTCATTATGAAGGTACTGGTTTTGCAGTTTGTTGACTGCTGCTTCCGACTGATCGTTAGGAGCCCAAACACTTTCGTAGCGCTGCATGTATTTCCGGTGGGCAACCCCGAAGCTACATTGTGCTCAGCTCTCAGTTACAGGCTGGTTCGTTTGTATTGCTATTGACGAGAAATAGCGAAAATTATGGTGGGCTTTTTCCTCTCTTTTCAAAACATATGGAAATCATAAAAAGAAATAACACTAAACCAGCTAACAAAAAACACCTACTCCCAAACTCAATCTTTCTTTCTCCAATATTCACTGTATCCGTTCCAACTTCTGCAGTGTAGAATCCTTTTTTCATGAAACGGTCGCCAGATATCTTCCCATTTTGACAAATGAATTCATAGTTCAGAGATATCTTCCCCTTTGCCGAACATTCATATGCATGTTCTTGGTGTTTTCATCCGAAATAATCTGCCGACGAGCAGAGAATTGTCTCTCGAGGTAGCTGATTACTCTTTCATGTGCTTCCGTTATTCCCTATTAAACAATGTCAGCTATCTGTTTTGCCTTTATCGCTCCCCCTGTTCCCAAGACTGCAATATATTAGACGCAATAGCTGACAGTATAGAAAAGGTACTTCCTCTCCATCCATCTGCTAACATTCGGTGACTTTAATGCTCACGAAGACACGTAGCTGAAACATTATAAAGGTACTGATGTTACCGGTATACAGACATTAAATTTTTCCATTGCCCAATGCCTCACCCAAATCTTGGACTTCCCTAGTCGTTTCCCTAATGAAACCTAGCAACATGATTCTCTACTGGATACATTTCTTACCTCGTCATCCGGGTCATGTCAGGCTTTACAATACTGTGCTCTTGATAACTCGGACCACTTTGTGGTAGCTATTGATATTTCCTTCCAAGCATCCACTAAACAGGAACCCCCTATCCATAAGATATTTTTTCCTTTGCCAGTATGATAGTTGAGACTCATTCCGGGTTTATTTCTGTGACGCCACTTGGCTTGACATCTTCCATTTCGCAGTTAAAAAGTGTGTCACTGATGTTTCTTCTTGGATCAAAGCCGGCATGGATGTCTTCATCCCCTCTTGGAAATATGCGCCTGCAGGTATATTTTTGTAACACCATTTCACGAAGATTCAGGCCGGTAGATGTAAATAAATTTCATATATTGTTTAATAAATAAATAAATAAAAACAGAGTATCTACTCAAATATAAGTATCCATTTAAAATAACGTTTAAACACACACACATATATATATATCGTCATCCACAGACAGACTGTTTCGCAGCTCATCAGTGTGGCTAGACATCCAGTTGCCTCCAGCTAGGGCCGAAACCCGACTGAACTGGTGTCAGTCGGAGATTCTAACCATTAAGCCATCGGCGCACGGTAGGGAGGAAAGTGGATTTTTAGCGTGTTTATCTTTATAAACACGCCCAGTGACCGGGAGTGACTCAATTCGCATTAAGCTGTATCAAAAATACTTTTACAAACTTTTGGGGCACATTCCTCACACCAAAACAAGGTCAAAAGTTCATATAATGGCAGGATATTCATATCGTGAGCAGGCAGATATGATTTTTACTTCCTCGCGAATGGTAATGGACGCGGGGCTACACAACTGTATCAGCTTGTGTTTCCAGACCGAAGACAGCCGATTCATCCAAACGTTGCTGCTGTTTATCTTCCATCTCGCAGTTGAAAATTGTGCCACTGAGGTTTCTTCTTGGGTCAAAGCCGGCATAGATGTCTTTATCTCCTCTTGAAAATACAACATGAAACCACAATTCTCTCCATCGTTTACACCAGCATACTCGGCTGCTACAGCACACAGTAACCACTATTTTCGTCTATACCAGCGGTGCAGTTTTCGTCATAACAGGTGTCTATTTGGCACTGCTCATACCACATGTAAGTGAGTCCTCAAAGAAGCTAAGTTCCTTGTTTACTGAGAGAATGAGGCACCGCATAGCCTCTAAAACTTTGCCTCTCGTGAATACTAACGTCTTGGTAATAGGGTATTAAATAAGTGCAAGGACTCTATCTCCACCCTCTTCAATCGATTTGAGTTGTTATTATCATCTGCTGATATAGCTGAATGCTTTGCACGTAAATTCTCCTCAAACTTTACTCTTGACCGATCTGGAGTGGCCCTGCCTTTCCACTCACTTAGAACTGATTCTCTGTTGAGTGGTATGCATATAACATTTTCCATGGTTTCTGCAATCATTTCTAACCTTGATCCCAACAAAGCATGTAGAACCGATGGCATCCCATAATAATCGTGGAGATGGAACTCTGTCGCAAATCAAGGACTCCCTGTAATCAAGTTGTTCATATTGTTGTTTAAATATTTATGTTTGTGTCTAAATAAACTAGTAGAAATATTGAATACAGAATAAATAATTCGTAATTAATTTTGTTTAATTTTACGTTGTTTTCTTTTTTCGTTTCATTTACTTTC